AGCGGCAGCAAAAATGGAAGCATTCACTCACTTTTGCTGATGGGTGGGTGGTGAAATCAGTGCTAGCACCAGCACAGCAGGAGACCGCAGGGCTACGTGGCCCCCTCCGCCGACTTTGGTGAGCTGAGCTCTGTGTACTTGCTCAGAGACACTGATGGCACAGTCTCGCTGTCACCTCACTGATGGCACCATCAGAGTCTAGAGGATGGATGGCCTCTGTGCTAGGCTGGATTTTTAGGTTTTGTCTGCTCTCACTTCCTGTCAGCAAGGATTTGAAAGAAATGAGCGGTGCAGGTGTTTCTCTGAATTTTATGCTCTGGTCTCTCTCTTTACTTCTGGAAACCCTAATTTTTAACATTAATTACATTTAACTGAATTTGATCTGACAGTGTCCCTTTATTACCATATTATGCAAAGATCTCAGACATTAAAGACATTGGAGAAGTGATTAAAAACAACTTTCTAAAAACTACTCATGTGCCTTAAATTTCAGAGCCAAACACTTGCCTAAATCATTGACTAAATCAGTCTAGAAATCTCCAAAGCCTCTTCTGTGGGAGGGAAGTATAAGCAGCAATCCTAATCTTCAGACTGGCAAGAAATGAGAAGGCAAAACTCCCAAATTAACGTCTCAGGACTTTCTGGAAGTAAAATTTGAAGGAACATTGCAATATAAACTTGGTTTCAGATCATCTGTGTATCAGAACAGAAATTTGCCAGTCAGAAAGAACACGTAGTTGTATTTTTGACTCCTTTAGGGTTTGCTGTTAGAAAGGATACAGGTTAATGCTGTCTGTAATGTGTCACTGTAATGACAGGAGAAATTTTAATTTGTTGTTGAAGTTTAATTAAATGATGACAGTTTTGAAATGTTGGGCAGAGTTTTATGAAAGAGGTATACATGTTACAGAGGTCTTTTACAAAGCTATCAACCCAGAACAAACAGCAGTTCAGAACTCTCCTCTTTCCATTTTTACTTGCCCAGCACTGAAGTCATGTAAAAAGACTGTAAAAAGCATGAAGGTTTAAAACCCTTTTCCTAATTATGGAATTAGCTTAGAAACCTAGGTAAAGCCTTAGATTAAAAAATGAATGTTATTGTTATGGCCTGAATTACATACTAATTGAAGATTTTGCCTTATATAAAACTAAGAATAATGGTAAATGTGTTGTATCTCATAGTGTTTCAGTTTTGAAATTTGTGCTTCACAAGATGAAATGCAATGATACAGTCTTGTCTTTTATTTTTTCCTGTGGTTGATTGGAATTTCAATATAGATATATTTAAGTAGTACCATCTGTTCAGGAAATTAATTAAAGGAGAAAATGGTGGACTTTGCAAACAATGTTTTTGCTATAGTCACGTGTTTATAATTTCAGATGAAAATGAATCTTAAAGTTACAGGCTTCATCAGGATCATACACAGATTATATACTACCTAAGTACAACTTTTTTAAATGTAAAAATTACAGGAAGCAAGGAGGTGAAAGAGTGCAGCAGAGGCAACATTCCAGCAAACTCTATGTAAATAAGCAAAGTTTAATGTTGAAATATCTGTATGGAAAGATGTTTATTTGCAAGGCAGGGTGAAAACTCCCAGTATTGTATCAATTGCACTTTGAAATGTTGGTTTTAGTCTTACTTACCGAGAATACTGAGGTGGATTTAACTGACTGTTGTGCTAGTGGAGCCACTGTGCCACTGGGTGAGGTGCATCCTTAGCGCTTTGAGATTTGAAGGTCAAATAAGTTTCATAGTGATCTTGTTCATCTGAAATAAATGGGGATTTTGTCAATGACCTCTACAGTAGCAAGGCTAGATTCATGGCATGTGATATGAAGCTGCAGGGTTTTTTTTTTTCCATTTTCTTTGTTGGAACTTGAGCCTGACCCATTGGGAATAGAGTGGGTTGATCAGCTGTGGCATGTGTTGGTTGCTGCCCTTACTGCCTCAGTTGCAGAAAAAAACAGGTGCTTTTGAACTAAATTGGAGAAGGAAGCACGAAACACCCAGAATTTTAAGCATTGATACTTTTGTCTTAACCCCTAGCTGCCCTTCTATATAAAAAAAAAGAGATTTTTTTAAAACAAGGTATGCTTTTTAGGAGACAGCTTAGGTGTACAAAAAGCTGATAGAAGCCTTTTCATCTCCCATATTAGATGTTGTAACTTCAACTCACACAGTGTATTGTCAACACTGTAAGTTATATTTTGATTTGAAATAACTACACCAAACAGCTGTTGTGTACCAGATGGCCTCTCCCCCCTTTAAAATTATTGATTTGTGTTTTACCCTGTTTCATGTAACTTTATGATGAGGAACACTGAGCTTTGGAGGTAAAAACTTTGACACCTCTTTTCAAGTGTATTCACATGTGGATTAGCTGAGTGCCAGTGCCTTGCTCAGCTGGCAGCATGTTTTGCTGTTGCTACCCGGGGTGGTTAGCTGTTACACTGGACTGTTCCTCTCCAATGCTGGCCTTCACACCTGGAGAGATAACCTGATAACATTTGATTTCCAGAATATGTCATGCTGGAGGCAAAGTAGCTCTAGGGAAGCTACCTGAGACTGTGCGATGCCAACAACTTGCTCAAAGTTACTTTGAACTACTGGTGCTCTTGAATAAATTCAAGTGACAGCAGCCGGATGTTGTTTTTCTCTCACAAGGCTGAGCACGTTGCCTCAAAAAGTGCTGAAAGGCTTGTCAACCTCTTGGCCCTTCTGTCACACCCTATCCTGTTAACGAAAAGTTTATTAAAGTTAATTTCTATCCAAGGCATCCCATAACATAAAAAGATTTTTTGTTCCCTAGTTCTGATTGAAAACCAATTACCGGAAATAGTAATGGGTTTCAGAAAAATCACAGTCCCAGGGTATAGCAATATCAGAAACATTTCATTGTTTTGCTTGGTATCTCAAACAACTAGAATACAGTTTTTTAGGAAGCATGAAACAATACTGATTACTAACGAGAACTGTACTGAAAGGTTTTTGAGAGCAGTGTGTGCCTACCCTCAGGTAATGAAATTTGCTTCACCGTTTCCAAGTTTTTTCTCAGGATTTAATTTTTGCACTTTGTCTTCAGTAGGTTTCTTTCTAAGATAATTAATTTTCTTGAGTGCCTGTGCTCTGTCCAGCCCTGAGGATCTTAAACACTGTTACTCCTTCATTCAAAGCTCAACCAGACACATTTCAATTAGTTGCTCCCGGAAGAATACATATGCACAACAATACCAGCAAACTGCATTTTAATGATCTCTTTCATCTTTGTCAGTGGGAGCCTGTTTCAGAGTATATTAAAACCAAAGCAGGACTCCCATTAGTCTTGATGGACGCTGGGTCCCCACCTGCAGACAAGACGATTGTTCACTCAGGTAGCTCGTGTCCCTCCATAACTGTGTGACTAGCTGGGAGATTATGCAGGGGTATTTAGGGATGTGAAACTGAAGTACAAAAACCTCAAATGGGGCTGCTTTATTAAGGATCATAATTCCATTCGGGAGATAAAAGAGAAGTATTATCTTTTATAAGAATTATTGCTGAACTCCATCCATAAAATGCTCCCACCAGTACTCTTAATAAGTTGACTTACTGGCATTCTCATGAATTGAATTATTTTCTAAATCATTGTACGAAAAGACAGATTTTGCAAACAAGTATGGAGACAAGTACTTGCCATAAGTATTTTTACAGGGTAGACATTTTGCAGAGGAACAATTGTTTTTGAACATGAGAAGTAAATAAAGAGTCAATGTTTATTATTTGATTACTGCTTGCCTTGTATGCCTGATCATAAACCAGGACCCTACTATACCCTGTCCTAGAGAGCTTACTGTCTATCATAGAATCATAGAATGGTTTGGGTTGGAAGGGAAGATCATCTGGGCCAACCCCGCTGCCATGGGCAGGGACACCTCCCACCAGACCAGGTTGCCCAAAGCCCTGACCAACCTGGCCTTGAACACTTCCAGGGAGGGGACATCCACAACTTTCCTGGGTAACCTGTGCCAGTGTCTCACTCCTCTCAGAGTAAAGAAGTTCTTCCTAATCTAATCTAAATCTAGCCAGTTTTTGTTTAGAACTGTATAAGGGAGACAACAGTTAGAGGGTGAGATAAACATGAGAAACAATGAGCCAATGGTCAGTGTAATTGTATTTTCTCTTTATGATAAAATATCTGTCCATTGCATGTTTAGCAAGAAAAAATCTTTTGCTTCCAGTATTTACTAAATTCAGTTTTAGAGATTTCAAGATTCAGTATCCAAAAACTACCAATCCTTTCAGACAGTTTGATCCTGATAGACCTGAAGATAAGGAGGTTCAGAGAGTCCTGGTGAGATTCTTTGAAAAAACTCTGTTTACCTCAGTGACCGTTCAGTTTACTCCACTGCAGCAGGCTTCACTGAGATGGTTTTCACAGTGTCCCAGGAGGCCGTTGGAAAGAAACCACCTGACACATACACTCTAAGTGCTAGGCCTAGTCTTTGGTCCCTGCTTTTGTATTTCACTGTAGTCCTAGTTCAGCAAAATATAACCAGTTTGAATCTATTCTCAACTCTGTAAAGAATAATAAAAGAACAACTCAACAATTTATTTCAGGTAAAAGGAAAGTTTTGCCTTTTTTGACACAGCTTTCTTAAGATTGCTATTTGCTTGTCTTCTGGTAGAAGGAATATGCAGTCCTTTAAGCAGCTCTGATTCATTGTTACCACTCCCTCTGTTATATATGTGTTTGATAAATCCTCTAAACAATTGTAATGTTTATTAGTGAGGGCTGGAAATAGATTTTAATACTGATGGAGCTGTGTAAAACTTGAGGGTGAAAGGCTAGGACTATTTAGAGCTGTAGTGTCATATTGTTGGGTTTCATCTAACATCATGATGGGATTCATTCTGAATTATGTTTTATGTGTATACAGCCATGTAGACACCATAGTGCAATTTTTGGCATTATGTTCTTAAGTTTAGGAATACGATTACATTTGAAATGTCTTTTCAGTCTCCGAAATCTTGGATCGAAGAGGTCTTCAGCAAAAGAGAATGTGCACACATTATTCCCAGTTCAAAAGATCCTCACAGGTAAAACTTTTGTTACATTTAGAAGGAATCAGAGTAATTTTTATGGGTGTTGTGTGTAGCTTGGATGAAGCTATTTGCAGTTTTCCAGTGTCCCAGTTTGTGGTTGCTAGTGTTTATGGGTTTTCATAGATACTGTCTCCAGTACGTTTTAAATGAGGCAGTTTGTTTAAATTAGAAATTGGCAACTATCGACCTTCTGATGTGCCCTTGGTCCAATAACTGAACCTGTGGTATGGTATCTGATTGAGAGACTGAGTTACATGGAGTTACTGCTGCACATTGTCTTAATCCTTTACCACCATTTTCTCTCTTCCTCAGAATAATGCCTGCTGCTGATCACAGTCTTTTGAGATAGAGATTTCTGCTTAGGGTGACATAGAGTGTGAAAAGAGTAAGGAAAAGATCAGGTCCTCAACCTGTGTTTTAAAATCTAAGAATGTAAACATAATTTGGTATTCCAGATAGTGTATCTAGTTGATGGTGTTGCCTAAATAAATTCAGTGAGGTCACTTTCTGAGGATGTAGAAATGTAATTGTCATCCTGTTTTTTTGAACACATGGATAGTGTAGTGTAAACAAACTAGATAACTCATCTATGAAATGCAGATTTGAAATACAATCTGAGATGTAATATGCCAAACAAATCACTAAAGTTACCCAGTACATCTTCCAGGGGTGAGCACAGAAGAACACAGCCTTTAATGCTGTTGAGGAGAATTTTTTCACAGATAGATCGATATATTATGAATATCATTACAGGTGTTGTCTTTTATGTAGACATGTATTAATTATCCATGTTTTGTCACAGATGTCCTGCAGGATGCCAGGTGTGCCAGAATTTAATCAGGTAAGAGTGCATAAATATGTATCAATGATTTTTGTAATGACCTAAAGTTACTGATGGGCATTCCTAGTCAAGGAAGTAATGGCAACAAAAATATAATTCCTCTTATATTGTCTAAGCAGCATTTCTGGGGGTATGCTGGAGAATGTTTATCATAAACATTATCTGAGTAAAATAAATTTTATTGTATCTTTAATTTATTTGAAATAGAAAAATTTATCCAAATACTTTGTGTGGATGAATTTGTCTTGGTCTTCTCCTGAGGAATGAAAGGCAGAAATGCGCCTTTAAATGAGAGGCAATTTTCTAGCTATGTCCTTGGTGATATGAAGGAGAGTGAGATGAAAACAATGGAGAACATTCAGAATTACAGAAAAAGGAAGAACAAAATAAAGAGAAGAGTGTAAAAGAAACGTCCCTGTTGCTAGATTTTCTGAAGATTTTTTCATCTTCTCTGCAGTGAGCATTCTGAGTCCTTGCTTTTGTGAAGACAAGCAACAAAAAATTACATTGCTTGGGTGCTTTTAACTCCAGTGTGGGTTTTTTTCAAAAAGTTACTATTTTCGAGGTTGTATTAATTGGTTATTTTCAGTCTAACATTTGTCATTCAGCTGGTGTTCCCAAACTGGTTTGGATACTGTATGTTTATGGTAATAAATTATCAGTTGTTGGGACAAAAGTTTTAACTTTCCTTGACGTTTGTTTTGTGTTAAAAGCCTGAGAAGGCTGAAGCAACAGAAAACATTGAGTTTCTGATAACTAACAACAAGCTGGTGCTAACTAGTCCTAATACCTTCATGAGCATGATTATTTGTTTTTCTGTTTTATTTCACATTTTATTTTTCTTCTAAGACTTAAGTGAAGCAAGAGTCACATTTTCCAAAAAGCAAATAAGTTACTACTGGAAATCAGATCACTCTAAAGGACCAATATACAGAATGGTGTTGGCCTTGTAAGTAAGGCAAATAATCTGTATGGCAGTTGTTGAGAAATGGACAACTCCCTCTAAGGAATGGTTGCATGTACATTTTGCTTTAAAGCAGAGGAATAGAGATTCAAAGATTTTTACATGTGTTCTGGAAGTAGAAATGCAGGCAGCATACTCTGGTGCGTATCTAAACTGAAGTTAACTTATACTTCAAAATAAGGTGGTTTAATCCCATCTAAATCAAGACTACAGCAGTTCTACAGTCCTCCCCTTTCCCTTACAGAGTGACCATATTGTTATTTGGTCTGGGAAGCTTTCCTCTTAATTGAACACAGTTTAGCTGCATGAATGTGAATACAACAGTGGGAAAGGGAGAAAAAGAAACTGGAAATGTGCAGCCCACAGAATGGGTTATTTTTTTTCTTTCACCTTTCTCTGTAAAGATATTCTGTACCTTTGTAGTTTTTTTATCTTGTAGTTGTTTTTTTCACTTTTCATTGAGCATTTTTATGCTGTTTAAATTCATAGAATCATAGATTGTGTGGAGTTGGAAGGGACCTTTAGAGGTCGTCAAGTCCACTCCCCCTGCCATTGGCAAGGATGTCTTTAGCTAGATCAGGTTGCTCAGAGCCCCATCAAGCCTGACCTTGAATGTCTCCAGGGATGGGGCCTCCACCACCTCTCAGGGCAACTTGTTCCAGTGTTTCACCACTCTCAAATTGAAGAACTTCTTCCTAATGTCTAATTGAAATCTACTCTGCTCTAGTTTAAAACCATTGCCTCTTGTCCTATCGCTACACACCCTTGTTAAACAGACCCTCATCAGCTTTATTGTAGACCCCCTTTAGGTAGAGGAGGGACGCTATAATGTTTCCCTGGAGCCCTCTCTTTTCCAGGCTGAACAACCCACACTTTCTCAGCCTGTCTTCATAGGAAAGGTTCTTCAGTCCTTGCATCATTTTTGCAACCCTCCTCTGGACCCGCTCCAACAGCTCCATGTCCTTCTTGTACTGAGGGCTCCAGAGCTGGACGCAGCACTCCAGGTGAGATCTCACCAGAGCAGAGTAGAGGGTGAGAATCACCTCCCTCGATCTGCTGGCCACATTTCTTCTGATGCAGCCCAGGATGAAGTTGGCCTTCTAACTGCAAATGTGCATTGTTGGCTCAGCCTTTCACCCACCAATACCCCCAAGTCTTTTTCTGCAGGGCTGGTCTCTATCACATCATCCCCAAACCTGTATTGATAATTAGGATTGCACCTACCCAGGTGCAGGACCTCATGAGATTCATATGGGCCCACATCTCCAGCTTGTCCAGGTCCCTCTGGATGGCATCCCTTCACCCTGGCATATTGACTGCACCACTCAGCTTGGCGTCATCTGTAAACTTGCTGGGGGTTCCCTGGATTCGACTGTCTATATCATTGATGAAGGTGTTAAAAGAGGACTGGTCCCTGTATGGACCCTTGAGGGACACCACTTGTCACCCATCTCCACCTGGACATTGAGCCACTGACCACTACTTTTTGGGTGTGACCATCCAACCAATTCCTTATCCACTGAACAGTCCACCCATCAAATCCATACCTCTCCAACTTAGAAGGATATTGTGGGGGACAGTGTCAAAGGCCTTGCAGAAATCCAGACAGATGACATCCATAGCTCTTCTCTTGTCCACTGATGCAGTTACACCATTGTAGAAAGCCACTAGGTTGGTCAGGCAGGACTTGCCCCTATTAAAGCCATTCTCGCTGTCTCAAATCACCTCCCTGTCCTGCATGTGCCTTATCAGAGCCTCTAGGAGGATCATGTGAATTCTAGTTGATCTGTCTAGATATGCAAAATATGTAAGTGCGTCTGATGTTCATTTCAGTCAGACATTATCTTGCATGTACATTTTCCCAAATGTTAACAGTTCTTTTCTTCTTATATATCTTAAGGTGTACACAGAGCTTTGTTCTAGGAGGATTTTTCTGTTCATAACAAGGGGAAGTAATTTTCATATGAGTGTTATAACTGGTTATATTGTATTTGTTTGATCAGCAATGACACAGGTTTTGCGCCTCCTAAGATCTTTAATTTTCCACAACAGTCCAAAAGTGACGTGAATATACTTGATGCCTACGATAATTTGACCTAATATTGTAGGCAAATGAAACCTGTTAATGGTTTCTTACTTGCAGAGAACTTCCAAGGGTTGCTAACAGTTTATGAGTGGTTTATGCAACTATTTGCTAATACTAAGTAGAAGAATTCCATTTAGTAGCTGCTTATCAGATTTGAGTGACTTACTGGCACCTTTGTCAATTCTTCCCTGCTGTGTTGAAATAGCCTCTACTTTTCAGTGCAGTACTCACAAACACATCCCAGGCAGCACCTAGAGTGATCTCACTGCATGAATATTCAGGAATGTTGTGCCAAACTTCTGCATCCTTACATATTTGAGACATTCTTACAAATTGTCATTGCCAGGATGGTCACTCTCTCCTCAAGTCCCTCCAGTTTGCTGGTGTCTCTTCTGTGTTGGACACCCAAACTGGAGCCAGTGCCCAGACAGGGTCTGATATGCACCAAGCAGAGGGGAAAGTCCCTGCCCTTCCCTGGCTCTTGGGCTGTGTCCTGCTCACACCACTCCAGGCACTGCTGGCCTTGTTGCTGCCTGGGCATGCAGGTGGCCCTGGCTTAGCTCGCTGCCCACCAGCACCCAGGGCTGCCCCGCAGAACTGCCCCCTCCCCAGGGCTGCACGTGTCCTCCATCCCCTCCTCTGGGTTGAGATGCTGAACAGGACAGGCCCTGCACAGACCCTGTGGGACCCCACTTGATACTGGCCTCCAGACAGCATCCAACCCACAACCACCACCCTGTGAGCCCACCACATCATTGATGGTCTCAGACCCAACCAGGTTCTCACCCAACTAGGTTATCACCCGCCAGTGTGTCCTCCCTCCCAGACTGTAATATCCCAGCCCATGTACAAGAATATTAGGGAAGGCAGTGCCAAAAGACTTGCTAGAGCAGAGGTAGGTGACATCCGCTGCTCTCCTCTCATCCCCATGATTTTGTTACAGCAGACAAGTCAGGTAGGTCAGTCATGATTTACTCTTGGTAAATCCTTGCCAACTGCTCCCCATTATGGTCTTCTCTTTATGGTGCCCAGACATGGGCTCCAGGAGGTCTCACTCCTTGATTTCACCTGGGACTGATGGGAGGCCAGTTGGCTTGTGGTTCCTTAGGGTGGCTTTTGCCCTTTTTTGAAGGCAGGTGTGACGTTTGCCTTTTTCCAGCTCTTGGGGACCTCCCTCATCTCCATGACATTTGAGAGCTGATGGAGAGCAGCTGCACAAGGACATCAGCCACCTCAGCACCTTGGGGTGCAGCCTCACAGATCTCAGGGACATGGGTGGGTTGAGTTCTCCCAACCGATCCTGACTCGACCATCATCCTTGGCTGGTAGCTTCTCTCCTCCTTGAGCCCTGTCACTATCCCCACAGCACAAATCTTAAAAAAACCCAATCCCAAAGGGCTGTATGTAATGTTCTGCTTTGGTTTCCTCAGCCTTCCTGAGAGCCTCTTAGTCTTGTTTTTTCACCTACTAGGTAGCTCAGGAGTCCTTAGCACCTTGTCTCTTCCTGCTAGATAGCTGGCGAGAGCAAGCATGCCAGCTTGAGGCAGAGCATGAGCAATTTGGGAAATACCAGTCCTTTTGAATTCACAGCTCTTGCTTTGGTAATCTCTGAGGTAGAGACAGCTGCATGTGCACTGCACACCTGTGTGTTAGGTGTCTGTGCAGTTCCTCCACTGCCTGCTCAGCATAATTGAGCTGCAGCTCACCCCTGAGTGCATTTACATGTGAACGTTAAGTATGTAGTGCAAATGACATTAATTACTAAAATAGTTCAACGTTCATTGAGCCTCTCTGTTTCAAGGTTACTGCACTGTTTTATCTTGTCAGATGGTTAGTTCCTTTCTGTAGGATCTGAGCTTTGAGAACTTGGGTTGCTCTGTCTCTTGCTACTCTAGGAGGGGCTGCTGATATGACCCAGTAGGGAACAATAACATATGAGATAGATGGTCATTCTGTGCTCGTATTTTGATCAGGTGCTGAAATAAATTCAGATTTTAGAAAATGTAATCCATTGATGATGAGCCTGATTGCTTCTCAGTGCTGTCCTTCCAAGCACTGTTATTTGCTGAGTCAGACAGTGTAATGTGGTATCTAAGTGAGCAATGTAAAGTAATCTGGTATTTACTAGGACTGCTATTGGTTCTCTGTCTTCCAGAATGACTCCTGGATGAAAGGTCTTGTTACTGTGAGACCAGTCTAGGAGTAGAACAGTGACCATAAGGTATTTTCAGGACAAAAAACCAGTAGATTTTCTATGGTTTTTTTCTCATCTTTCATCTGAAGAGCAATTTTTTCCTGACATTTGTTGTTTCTTACCATGGAGTCCTCTCAAAAACCAAGCAGGAAAAACTGGAGCAAGGAAGCTAGTAGCTCAGATGTAGAGAATGTTGTCTGCTGAAGACCAATAATAAAATAAAAAATATCTCCTTCTTCTGGGCCTTCCTTTGAAGTATGCAGGGATACATTTATACTTTAAACAAAGTATAATAATTGGCCTCGTGCTCTTTGTGGGCAGATTTTATGCAAATCTGCTTCCCTTGTGCTGTCTGCTTTGTAGCTACATTGTTCTGAAACACTGTTAGTTTAGATATGTCTCTATAGTGACTCTTAGTGTGGATTCTGAGCCCACATGTTATTTGATAATATGATGTCAGCAATGAACTTCCAACTGTGTTCGTCCCTAACCATCTTCAGAAATAGCCGTTTAATTGTATCTCTGCAAGTGTCTTAGTGTGACTGGTTTATTCTCCAGGTTCTAGCTTGGATACTTTTTGTTTAGTTCATGAGCCTTGACCTGCTTGTCATGGTTTGCCTATGAGGAGGCAAAATTATAACAGGTTTTGCTTTTGGGTTTATCAAAATGAGGCCCCTAGATCAATAGTTTGTTTCAGCAGCTCCTTTGCCCTGTTTGCTAATCCCTGTTTTTTTTTTCCTGCCATCACCACAGTGCAAATGATTGTGAAGTCATGCAAGCGAGCCAAATCAGGCAATGTTTCTGGTTAGAGTAACTTGAAAATAAAAACCCCTCTGTGAGGCTTTTTTCTCCCCAGTTCGATAATTTCCTCTTCATTTTTCCAGGATTCAGTTTTGAGTACACCCCTTACTTCTTTCTGGCAAGTCCCTGGATTTCTATGATACCCTACTCTTTATCTCAGCTAAGGAAAAGGTGTAGGTGGTCTAGGTTAGCTATCCGTATTGAATTAGCTTGACAAAAATTTGAGCATTTTTGGTAGTCTCTATTGCCTTCTGACTTCTCACTAACCATCATCATACATGAGACGATTAAGTTCAAGTATTTTCTGCAGTGCTAGACTTCTACAACTCTGTAGTTCTCCACTGAATTTTATTGTTTATTTGAGTTAATTCCCTAAAAGTGTGGGTGTCTTCCTTCTCCAGACAGCTTTTGCAGAGCATTGAATCAATTAAATGTGATTTGCCTGTGTTGAAAAACTGGAGTGCAACATAATTCCATGGTTTCTGGGTATCAAGAAGTGCCTTTCTAAAGCAGTTAATTTCCTTAATTTGTGTAGGGTTGTTTTGTGGTTTGTGTTTGTTTGTTTGTTTGTTTGTGGTTTTTTTGTTATTTTTAATCTGTTTCTCTTTCACTAGTTAGTTCTCACTCATCTCCACAGAAAACACTCTCTCTTTCTGAATGTACCTGTCCAAGGTTTTGCAGATGTTTACGTCCAGCCTGCCCCTAGACCAATAAGTAGTAAATCTGAGTCCCAGGGCAAGCACTGACTTTGAGTTGTTGGAGGCTGTTTGTTATCTTAAAAGACTAAAAGAGAAAAATTTATCACCATTTCCCAGGGTATATTAACTCCTGAAATGTCTAAAGGAAAACTGGGCTGTCAGATGTCACTATAAATTACATGAAGTTAATCCTGTAGAAGCCTTGGAGCCTGTCGAAGCCTGTATGACCATAATACTAACTGAATTTGGAAAATGGGTTATTCTTCTAGTTGCAGACCTTTCATGCTAACTGAGCTTCTGCTAACTTTCCCTTAACATTGCACTTCAATTTGTATATTCACTTTGCTGGCATTCAAGGGTTAGTTACAAGGTCACCCTGACGTTCTCTCTCGACTGAGGGTTGCTCCTCTCCTCCTGTTTAATGATGGTAACTCCTAGATCTTTCTTCAGTACTTAGAATATCCTGCAGTAATGATCATAGCAAACCTTGATGTCTGAAGATATTCCTCTGAAATCTCACATATGAGACCAGTAAATCTGAGCTTCATTGCTCAGGTCAGAATTGCTATATGGGACTCTCGGACTGTTACGGAGTCACACAGAATTACAGCACAGTTTGGGTTGGAAGGAACCTTCGAAGATCATCTAGTCAAATGCCCCAATTGTTATTAGTGTCCTCAGGTAGAGAACAAATTTTCTATCCAACAAAACATATTTATGATTTAATTCAATGTCATTTTGCCATTGTTGAGGTTTTTTCAGCTGAGTTAATTTTATTACATTCCATGTCAGCAAGCTACAATATCCTTCTCTGCAGAAAAACTATTTGGGTTATACTGATTAAGAACCTAGAGTTGCATGCAAGTGTGTTTCATACAAAATAATTTCTTTATTTTTAATGTGAGATGTTGCTGTGGACGGCTGATTGGAGATCACCCAGGAGTAGACACTAGCTGGCCTGTTTATCAGGCTGCCCCACAGAGAGATGGTGTAGAATGGTCTGTGCAGAAGCACACAAAGATGAGTCCAACGGATGCATTTGGTACAATCAATTTTCAAGATGGAGATCACACTTACCATGCCAAGGTAACAGATGCTGAGTTTATATGTTTGACTTCTTTTTATAATTTCAGCATAAGAAAGAAAAAAAGAGGTTTTAGACAAATATCAGATTGTTTGTCCTAAACAGAGCATAGGAATGTAAAAGCAAGACAGGTGAGATCGTGTGTATATTTTTATGTAGGACTTCACCGCGATTAAGCATAGTCTGTCTTGCCGTCTGTATTGCTCGCTAATGTATTTTTGTGCTATCATGTTAGCAGTGCCGTGAAAGTTCTAATCCTGCACAAAATCTTTAAGACATTAATGCTCAGAACTTTGTAAGATATTGCAGTGTATTCTCTTGGACTATGTAAATGATGTTTTTTTTACCCATTATTATTTCTTCCAGTATATTAGACTCTCTTATGACAGCAATTTGGATCAGTTATTGCACTTGATGGTTAAAGAATGGCAGATGGAGTTGCCGAAGCTAGTGATCTCTGTTCATGGAGGCATTCAAAATTTCAAGCTTTCCTCAAAGGTCAAGCAGGTTTTCAGCAAAGGATTGGTGAAGGCTGCTGAGACTACAGGAGCATGGATAATAACAGAAGGCATTAACAGCGGTAGTGTAATTATTTTTCTTTGTTTCAGTCTTCCTCTGGTGTTGTTTCTATGTATTCGAGCATATACGTTTATGGCAAATATAATGAAAATGTTTGATAATTTATGATATTTTAACAGAAATTTAAACTTTTCTTGAGAAACAGTGCATAATTCAAAGAGTGACATCATGTTCTTCTGCTGTTGACAGGCATTCTGAATATTTTTAATATTTTTTTTATTAAGGAGCAGAATATTCTGCATGTTATAAGAAACACCAATAGCAGATAACCAAAACTTATTTGCAGTCAATGTTATCTACTTCATTGAAATATTTAGGTTCTGAGGACTGTGGTTGGTGTTTTTGAAACAGTTTTCAAATCTAAAGTTTGCTTGTGTTTTATGATTAATAAAGTTTTGAATTATGATAATCCATTAATTAACCTATTAGTATCTGAAAGTCTCTGTAGACTACTCTCAAAAACTGAGGGGGTCAGTAAGCCACAGAACTGAAACAGTTTTACTGCTTTAGCTTTTATTCAGTCCAGTGACCTTACAGAACTGTTGTGTGCATTTATGGCAGTAATGAAGTTTTTATGGAGGCAGAAAGCACTGTTAACAACATATGGGTATTATTAATTACAAATATGTGTTGAGTTTGAAGTATTGGTGCATTACATCTGAGCTTTACAATTCCTGCAGTGCAAATCAAAGTTACAAGTTGGGTGGGATGGTTTGTTTCTGGTTAAAACACAACCATAGAATAAGTTAAATGATGGGAAACCCTTTCATTTGTGTCCTGTAGCAGGTGTCTGGATGTAGAAAAAAAATGATGATGTAATTATCTGTATAGGAGTGTCCAGGCATGTGGGGGATGCGCTGAAGGGCCGTGCTTCACCACACCTGAGAAAGATCTGTGCTGTTGGGATTCCTCCATGGGGTATCATTGAGAACCAGAAGGATCTCATTGGAAAAGATGTGAGTTGGACACATTTTAATAATAAAAAACTTAATGTTCAGGGGATGTTATAGCGTTCTTCCATACTTTATTTTTGGCTTGCTTCATTTCACTGGCTTGATATTTTTTCTCAGTAATAGAGGCTTAGATTTTGCTCAGCAGTAGAACTCTATGGTACGTTGAGGCACTGCATTTTGTTTTTCATATGTAAATGAAGAGTTTAAAATATTTCTCTTCTTACAGGAAATTGGCATTTTTGAAATTTTGCAATTAATTAGGCAATTCTCTTCTGGTTGCAGATGATGTATTTCTATATTCATGTAATTCGGGATGAGTAATCAGGTTAATAGTATACACAAGTAGACTATTAATATGTGTGATTTTTATTCATAAACTAGAACTTTATGTGAGTGCCAGTGTAAGGGCACAATCTACATAATTGTTTAAAAGCACTTGACAAGTAAGATGAAGTCATTCCTGATGAATGATAGCTCACATGTTTTTAATGAAAGTACACCCAGGAAAGTATACCATTGTATTTCAACTGTTGCAGAGAAAGGCAGGCAGTGACTCTATTACTGCAGACCTAATCAGTGATTCTTTCTGTGGTATTAATTGTGAGTTTGTGGCTGTTAAGAATCAAATGAAATCCCTTGTTTGAGTAGAGCAGCGAAAAGCATGATGGAGACTTTTAGAAGATCACAATACGATGAAGAAATGCGTGCAAGTGAGGCAACACAGATTGTGATATTTTGTTGGTTTCTCTCAAGATCTTTTTATTTTTGGTTTTCTTAGGTAGTTTGCCTGTACCAGACTCTTGGTAATCCACTCAGCAAGTTGAGTACCCTCAACAGCATGCATTCCCATTTTCTAATGGCAGATGATGGGACAGTAGGCAAGTATGGGAATGAAATTATGCTCAGGAGGAATTTGGAGAAGTACATATCACTTCAAAAAATACACACAAGTGAGTACTGCTGTGGTCAGCTTTTTGACAGGAGAACCTGTCCTAAAAATTGTGGAGGTACTTGAACTCTGAATATCAGGAAAATGAAAAGGACAACATTTTCATAAAGCGTTATGCATTTGGGCTAATTCGCATTTTGGTCTCTCAGTTGTGGAGACATCTAAATGACTCAGATTATCTAGTAAGTATTGAGCAAATGCTCACTTTGTAGTTTTGTGTGGTGTCTGTATCAGCACTAGATGGTTTCCCAGCATTTTGCTAAGTAATAAAATAGTCGCATTTATTGGAATTTGTGTCCTTCTTCCCCTTTTCTTTACTTTTATCCTCTTCTATATTGCAAGCCTATGACCTCTTCAGATACAAAACCAAAGACTGGTTGTGAAAGGAATAACTTCAGCCAATACATATTTATCAGATTGCATAATTTCTACTGTTTGTTTATGCAGTAACTGAGTTATGGTATAGAAATAATGAATGAAATATTTATTACATAGACAAGTATTTCTTTTTATGCACTAGATTAGATAAATTATTTGTGAACGTTCACTCTCACCTAGTGATTTAAATCTCTAAGTATGTTAAAAAGACATTGGCAGAGTGATGATGTTGAATCTTTGTTTCCTTTATCTGCTCACATTATAGTATTTACAAACTTTGAAACTTATGCAATTTTTAATGTGTTTGTATTTAGAGCTTTTTAGTCAGCCTCTTCTGTCTTTTTACTGTGAATTTTTGCAGGTCAGACTTTCTGTTGTTTTACCATTTCTGTTGTATCTTATTCAAAATTTATTTCTAATTAAGAAAAAAATGACCCTCCTGCTGTAAAACTTGAGAAAGTCTGTAAAGAAGCACCTGATTGGTTTTGGTAAACAAATGGATATTGACCACATTTCAAATGCCATAAATGTCCTTTAATGTCTGAGAACTATTGTAAAGGGCAGAGGGATATTCTGAAGGATGTTTCTTCTTTCCAATGCTAGGGCTGCTTACAATTTTATCAGGAGGTTTTCATGGTCTTTCTGATCTGGTTGCAGAAGTTCTGTGAAAGACTTAAAAAGTGTAAGTCACATTAGAAGTGGTGAAGGCATGATTTCCTCTCCATTGAACCGTGTATGAGACTCCTTCATGAGGATTTATTTATTATTCTGATTTTTTTTGTGTGTGACTGAGACCTGTTTGTAACTGGCTAGGTGTATTTTGAAACAGGAATGGGCCAAGGTGTACCCGTAGTTGGGTTGTTCGTGGAAGGAGGCCCCAATGTGATCCTAATGGTGTGGGAGTACGTGAGGGCCAGCCCAGCTGTCCCTGTGGTGGTCTATGAGGGCACTGGCAGAGCTGCAGATATCCTGGCTTTTACCCACAAACACACGAGTGATACAGGGTGAGTAGTGGCATAATGCTCCTCCTGCTTGTTTTGTTATATTGGGAGGGACCTGAAAATGCCTGTCTCAAAACTGCTGAGATAATTTCTAATGACCCTGTCACGGTCTTTTGCTGACTTTTACTTCTGTGAAGTGAGAGCAGATTTTCTTCCTTCCCTGCCTCAAACTAGTGCTGAAAGAATTATTCTGCCCAAATTGCTAAGGCTTTTTTTGAAGAAGAAAAAGAAACAGCATCTAGAGATTTTAAGTTATTACGATATTTCTTACCATTGGTGAAGGGTGCTATTAGGTGTCCCCAGAGTGCCTACTTGTGTTTTGACTAAATCCTTTCTCCTGCAGAGCTAAGGTTCCTTGGCTTTGGTTTAACCAGTGGTAAGCCAGATTTGTCATCCTTGTCTAGCTATAACTCTTTATGTCAACTCCAGTGCAGCCTCAGCTGCAGACTCTATTAAACCAACCTTGATGAAAATTTTATGTCCAAAATGGAAAAAAAAAATTAGTATAAACGATTAATATTTTTGTGAAAGTTTTTCAAAGTCAAAAGGGCTTTTGAAATAAAAAATAAATTTTAAAAAGTGACCTGGGTTCCTTTCCAATTAAAAAACTCCACAATTTAATAAACTTTATATTCTAATTGAGTGTATATGATATTTTCTAAATATTCTTTTGAGAGTGTGGTATTTTTCCCTAGCGTGTTGTATTAAGAATTTTTTTTTCACTTTCTTTTTCTTCCATATTTTTGATCTTTTTTAAAAAAATCATGCCATTTCAAAAGAAAATAAAAATATGGATGGAAAAGTTAACAGAAAGATAAATGAGGGAAAAAAGAGAGGTATGAAGCCTAATGAACAAATAATGAAGAATTTAATTTCATCCCGTTATGATTATAGAAAGAAAGAAAATGTTTGCTAAGCATTTAGTGATTTTCAGCTCTATATTCACAAACAGTCCTTTGAGAATTATTAACTTCTTTCTTTGTCCTATTTCTGATAGTATATATGTATGGTCAGAACTAATGCCTGTGTGAATAGTAATTTACGCTAGGTTATGCCTTTGCTTTGTTTTGTGGAAAGAAGACAGGAATAAGTCAGCAGAGAAGTAGAAATAAAAGAAATTTCTTACATGTCTCTGCATAACACAAGCTTTGTCTTTTGCTGCGATGTCATTTGGGCTGCTAAGAATTAGCTAAAAATACACTTATTCTTGCTTGTATATATATATTTATTTTTTTTTCTCACCAGGGAGCTGCACCCTCAAGTGAAGGAGGAGGTTTTAGTGATGATTCAAAACACATTTAGCTTGGGACAGAAACAGTCCAGTCATCTATTTCACATTTTGGTGGAATGCATGGAGCACAGAGAGTCCGTGAGTGGGGTTCACGCTCGGACTTTAGCATGTCTTAATTTGCTGTTACTGTGGTGGGTCGGCATGGGCTCGGCACATGTAGATGCAATGGTGTTATCTCTGATATAAAGATAACGTGAAGGTGTCTGTACTAATTTGTGTATTGAGTAGCTCCACAGATCCTGTTTAGTTAACTTCTCTAGTCTCAGTGGTTGGTAATGAAATGACAGCCTTTCTGATTTGAGTAAAAGGTCAGACATTTTTGTTTTTGCAGAAAAGACCAAGTAATTCCTACTTCTTTTCTTCACTTGTAGTGCCTTCTTTGTAACTTAGAAATGTTTCTGCCCATTCTTCTACTCATAACAGTTCTGCTAAAACTTGTGTCTGAGTATTGAAATGTACTTTTGAAATGTGGGGGCATGTTTAGTGGCTCAGATGCTCGTCTGTGAGTGGAATCGTAGAATCACAGAATGGTTTGGGTTG